CAGTTTATATTTACATTACCTGGAAAATCAAACATGCCCCGCTGGCATGGCTGTGTTTGAGGGTCAACCTGTGAACCAACACAGGTCACGGTTTGATTCCCAGTCAGGGCACATGGCCACATAGCGTGCTAGATCACCAATGGGGGGATGTGCAGGAGGCAGCCGATCAATGATTCTCTCATCATTGATGTTTCTTTCCTTCTCCCTTCCTCTCCAAAATCAATAAAAATATATTTTTTTAAAAAAAGATGAAGGGGATGGCTGGAAGGGAATGAAGCCATTTCTCTCAGCCTGAGTTAGACTGAGGCTGGAAAGGATGCAGCATTTGTTCAAGGCAACATGAACAGAACTTGAGCTTGCGTGGGAGGCTCAAGTTTTGAGCAGATGGTATATGAAAAAGAACCAAGAAGAAACAAGAAATCTAAATAACTGATGAAAGTTTAATACATTAAAACCAGATAGTTATCACTTATATTGCATTTGCCATTTCTGAACAATACAAAGTAGAGGCAAAAAGTGACACTTCATAAAAATGTTCATTCCCCATTCCCTTCCCTAAGACCCAGCCTCCCTTGAATACTCCCTCCCACCCCCTTCAGAACTTTGTCCTGAATAAAACACTTAAATACATCATAAATAGTAAATTATGAAAAAAACTAGCAAGAATTCTTTCTTTCCTTCTTGTAAAAAAGAACATGGCAGCAAAGACAGGCAGCCAGAGTCTGGCTGAGGGTGTCTAATATAGACAGTTACTCGGGGTGTGGGCTAACCTACCATCAACGTGGGGTGGGATGAAGAGGATAGTCTGGGAATTCAACAATCTGCCTGAGATGCCAGGCCCCTTCTCCTCACAGGAGGAGGAGGACCAGATGGAGAACTGCAACTCTGAGATGGGGAGGAGAGGGATTATACAGCCCCCATTCCCAACTTCTCTGCATGAAGAGAGGGGCAGGCCAGGCGGCACAGCAGTGGCCTCACCGAGGCAAGAATCTGCTGGCTCCCATGAGTTTAAGAGATATTCTCTAGCTTCATAGATATGGGCTGCCTGTTCAACAGACACAGGTGACCCTCTCTCCACCTCAGCCCCACAAACAGCATAACACTGTTAGAAAAGGTGGGAAGAATAAGGAAGAAATCTCCTTTGGAGAAGGATCGAAAATTCATTTGATGTCTTCATATTTAGAAAAAACAATCAGAATACATTTCAAATTACAAAACAGTAATAATCATTATGGCCCGGCAGTGAGTAGGATCATGCCTAAGAAGAGCCCTGATCGCCTAGCCCATGACTGTCCCACTGTTTTAACAAAAGGGGTAAAGATTACCCCAGGTCCCACTCTCTCCATTCCTTTAGCCTTAAGAAATTCATCAAGAGAGGAGGAGTTAAAGAGGAGCTGCTCCAGGCAGAGCGATCACCTCTTCCGTTTCTCAAACACTAAGGCTCTCCAGAAGGAACCCTATGAATAGGCCTCTCCCCAACGCTTCTGGAGTTTGGATCTGAACTGTCTGGCTTAAAGTTGTGTGCTGTGCATTATTTTTTTCTTTTCCTTTTTAAGGAAAAAAAGAAGGTTGGAAGGTGGTTAAACATCTTCACTCCCCCAAAACTTTTACAAAGCTTACAGGGGTCTCCCCTTCCATAGAGAAAGAGCTATGGTAGGGATAATGTGCCAGCCAGTCTGTCCTGAGGAAATTGAGAGTCCAGCTCCTGGTGAAAGGTAGATGAGAGGGAAGAAACGACCAAGTCCAGCAGCCCTACTTGCAGCAGGAAGAATGGGTGTTTGAAAACAATTCAATTGTAGAAGTCCAAGTTGGCCAGCTAAAAACTCGTGTCACCCAACTCGGGAGTGGAGAGGAAGCTGGTTCCTCAATTGTCCAAGGAAATATGCCCATTCATGAGGAAGGGGAAGGAGAAGAAGTTCTTCAGAAAGGAGTTGGAGAGCTACCCTAGCCTCCATTATACTCCTTTTTTGATGACCAAGAAGAAAACTCAGCATTACTGGGGCAAGGGCTGACATCTTGAGATCACAGAGACAGAATCTGGTTCCAGGTCTTCTGAGGTTTTCTGCTCACTGAAAAGAGAAAGGGTGTCAAGTTAAGAATGAGGAGTATGAAATGAGGAAGGAAAGGAACTCAAGCTAATTTCAACCTGCCTGGCCGAGTTAATCAGTTTTCTTCTATTTCAACCTCCATGTCCAAGTACAGGGTACCAAAACCAAAATTTTTAAAATGCAAGATTTAGGGGCACCCAGTCCTTCTAACTTTGCCAATTAGCACCTTGCTCCACACTCCATTAGTACATCCTCTTTATACCCTTCACCTCCCCCACATCCCAGACACTTACGTGGGTGAACTCTGACTCTTCAATTTCAAGCTTTTCCAAGAGGGTTGAACTAACAGGAGGGGGAAAAACACAGGTAGAGAAAGAATTAGAAGATAAAGAAAAAAAAAAGAAAAAAACTGTCCTCTCAAGTTTATTCTCTGTATTTCACTTCAGAATCAATTCAGCATTCAGAAAGAAGAGGCTAAGAAGCTACTAGATTTAGAAACATTGTTTTAATTAACTATTTAGTTTCTGGAAACTATAAACTATTTCCTAATACCCTCTTCTTCTGTCTTCAATCCCCAGGTATGGTAGGCACCCAAATATCATTGCTGCCTGATATTCATGCCATTGTGTAATTCTCTTCTCTTGAGTGTGGGCTGGATTTAGTGATTTTCTCCTAGTGAAGAGAATCTAGCACAGGTGATAGGATGCCGATTCGGAGGTTAGGTTACAAAAAGACTATAGCTTCCTTTTGGTACATGCTCTCTTACTTGTTTGCTCTTGGGAAAACCAGTTGCCATGCTGTGAGCTGTCCTATGAAGAGGACCATGTGCTAACAAACTGAATCCTACAAACTACATAAGCTTGGAAATGGATCCTCCCCTGGGTAAGCCTTCAGATGAGACCACTGCCCTGGCTAACAGCTTGACTGTAATGTCCTGAGAGACCTTAAGCCAAAGACACCCAGCCAAGCCACACCTAGATTCTTAGGCTACATAAAATATGAGACAATATTTAAATGTTTGTTGTTTTTAGCTGCTAAGTTTTGGGGTAATTTGTCATAAACAATAGATAATAATATAACAAGAAATGAAGTGCTGCTGTAAGAAAAATCTAAAATGTGGAAGTGGCTTTGGAAGAAGGAAGTGAGCTTCAAGGAGAGTTTTAGTGAAAGTTTAAAAGTGCCCTAAATATACTATAGAATTTTGGACTTTAAGTGGGTTGCCAATGAGAGCTGAAAGTGAGGGAAAACACTCGTATTAGAAAATGAATGGGAACCTTATAATATAGTGGAACAAAGTTTAGCAACAATGTCATCTGCAGTTATATGTAAAGTAGAATATATGCCTAATACTGGATGATCTTGTTATGGAGCTTTCTAAAGCATAGTGCTACCTGATTTCTACTCCTTTTTTTTGTTGTTGTTAATCCTCACTCGAGGAATTTTTCCATTGCTTTTTAGAGACAGTGGAAGGGAGGGAGGGAGGGAAGAAGGGAGACATGGATTGGAGACAGGAGCCTTGAGCCCCAACTGGGGCAAGGGATCAAACCTGCAACCCAGGTACATGCTTTCGACCAGGAATCAAACCTGAGACCCTTCCATGTGCGGGCTGACGCTCTAACCACTGGAAAATACTGGCCAGGGCCTGATTTCTTCTTAATGCTATGGTAAAATATGAGAAGAATAACTTAAGGGAAGTATTAAACAAAATGAAGCCAGGACTTGACAATAGTTTTGAAAAGTCTGAGCCTCTCTAGATAGCAAACACTGCTAAAATTTAGAAGCGTCTACAGCCCTGCACAGTGTGATCAGTGGTAGAGTGTCAGCCTGTGCACAGAAGGGTTACAGGTTCAATCCCCAGCCCCTGGTCACCTGGGGAACATGGACGAGGCAAACAATTGATCGATGTCTGTCTCTCTCTCCCCCTTTCCCTTTCTCCCTTCTACTCTCTCTAAAAATCAATGGAAAAAATATCCTCCAGTGTGGATTAAAGACAAAAAAAGAAAAGAAATGGCTTCAGAGTAAGACTAAAATCCAGTATCAGGAAAAAGTGGTCTAAAGCTGAAGCCATGGGTATGGACTATAAAGTAATTTTTTGATTAATTTATTTTTAGTCCTCACCCAATGATCTACTCTCTCTAACTTCAGAGAGAGAGAGAGACGGGGAGAGAGAGAGAGAAACACTGATGTTAAAAATACTGATTGGTTGCCTCCAATACAGGCCCCAACCAGGTATGAGCCCTGACCGGAAATCGAACCTGTGACCCCTGCAGTGCACAAGACGCTCCAACCAACTGAGCCACACCAGCCAGGGCTGTAAAATGTTTTTTTTAAGGCCACAGAAAAATCAAAGTTGATACTTCAGAGCACTATTCAGTCATAAATAAAAGGCCATTCAAAACATTCAAAAAGATTAAGGGTATGCGCCTTACAGATCCTCTCAACAACAGGATCTCTAAGAAGCAAAGGGCTTATCTGGCTGGTGTGGCTCCGTGGTTGAGTGTCAACCTATGAACCAGGAGGTCAAGGTTCAATTCCCAGTCAGGGCACATACCCAGGTTGCAGGCTAGTTCCCCAGTATGGAGACTGATCAATGATTTTTTTTCTCTTCATTACTGATGTTTCTCTCTCTCTCTCTCTCTGTCTCTCTCTCTCTCTCTCTCTCTCTCCCCCCCTTCCTCTCTGAAATCAATATATATATATGCATATATATATATAAAAGAAGGTACTTGTAGTTGAGGTTTTTGTCCAATGGAGTAAACCCAAATGACATTCACAGGAAGTCCACCAAATCTTTGAGAGATTTATCAGTAGAAACATCACCAGCTTAGACTGAAAAGAACAAAAGCAATGCAAAATGAAAAGGACCACTGGATCCCCCAAATTCTACTGGCAAGAAGGAGGCTGAGAAAACTACTCAGCTGCAAACACAGTCTAGTGTTTAGGAAGACTCAGAAGGCAAAACTGAGAGTCCAAAAGACAGAGCTGAGAGTCATGGAGAATTATTCCCATGCTTTGAGACCTGATAAAGAAACTCGAATATTTGCTGTATTTTAGGTAGCTATGGATCGATTGCTCTGTGCCTCAAATTCACAGTCTTTTTGTACAGGAATGTGTATAGGGGTTATCTAACGTCTGTCTCACCACTGTACAGGGGGTGGGTGGTGAGAAGATGGCTTGTCTCTTCATTTCACAGGTCCACAGATTGGGAGGATCAGCACTCATGGAGCAATACCTGGGAAGCTCACTCAAACATGGATAACAAAATTCTGGACTTTGAGCTGATGCTATAATGGGCTGAAACTTTAGGAGACCGGGAGGGGGAATGAATTTTGCACATGGAGGGATGTGTCACTAGAGGTCAGAGGGCGGACTATAATAGGTGACTCTTAAGATGGCTCCCAGTGAGTCCTGCCTTCCTGGTATTCACACCCTGTGTTATCCTTTCCTCGAGCATGGGTGAGATTTAGTGAACAGCATGGAGTACAGGTAGTAGGATGTCAATTCTGAGATTAGATGACAGAAAGAATGTGGCTTCTGCTTAGGCGCATGCACTGAGGAAAGCCAGCTATCTGAGTTGTCCTATGGAGAAGCCCATGTGGCAAAGAACTGAGGGAGGCCCTGGCCAACAGCCAGCAAGGAGCTGAGGCTCTCAGTCCAGCAACCCACAAAGAACTGAATCCTGCCCAAAACCATATAAATGAACTTGGAAATGAGCCTTCAGAAGAGGCCCTAGCCCTAGCCAACAGCTTGATCACCACCTCATGAAAGACCTTTACCCAGAGGACACAACTAAGCTGCACCTAAATTCCAGACCCACAGAAACTGTAAGATACATTTTTAATTTTAAGCCACTAAGTTTTGGGATAATTTATTATCTTGTAACAGATAATTAACACACCAGGTAACAAAACTGAAAGACAATCTTTACACTGGATTATTCTGAAAGATTGTTCACTGTCTAGGAATCTCTCCAACCTCCCATCCTATGCGGAAAACTCACTTATCTCACCAGGAGATGCAGGGCTCGCTGGGGTATTTTTATTGATTATCAGAAAAGCCTGCACACAAGCTTTCCCCACCCACAAAGGTACAGAGATGTTGGCACACGTTTTAAACCCTAAAGATGAACACTAAGGAAGGTGAACCTGAAAAAGTCTAGTGAAGAACAGAAGACAATGATCTCTGGGGAAAAAAAGTTAGGGAAGTTCCTAAGGACCTAAAGAGAGAGAGAGAGAAGATTACAGAGAAAGGGGCCAAGGAACCAACCTTGTAGATAACATTTGCAAAGTCTCTCCAACTACAGGTGAAAAACAGGGGTCAGGAATAGTCGAGACCTCACTGATTTTCTCCAAAGGTGGAGTCTGAGGTAAAACATCAGGACGACCGAAGTGGACGCCTGGAAAAAAGAAAGGGGAAGAAAATCAATAAATAAAAAAGAAGAAAAAATGGGGTGGGGGAAACACAGGGAAAATTATGTAGCAACTTGGCTTTTCCTGGACAGGAATAGGAAGCAAAGGTCCTAAGCAAATAAGGACTCAGAAGGAAGGGGAGGAGTGCCCAATCACATGGGAGCCCAGCCCTGGCGCTGACCTGGCTCCACTTCCGCCTTGGTTGTCACTTGTGCCTTGTGCTCCCCAGAGACCGGTGGCTGGTAAGTAATGCAGGAGTTGCCGCTGGGGCCTCCTCGCCGAGAGAAAGATG